CTGGCAGAGCATGGGAAGCTGAAAAGTCCTTGACTAGTGTGTAAGCACTACTTCACAACAACTAAAACATCAGTGTGTTATCAGCATTATTCTCATACTAAATCCAAAACACAGCACTATGCCTGCTACTAGGAAGAAAATTAACTCTATCCCAGCTGAAACCAGGACACTAGCTAATTCCTTAAGACATTCTAAAACAAATTTAAGAGCCTCTGCAATGCTTAGGCCAGTCAAATTCATTAAGTAGACGTAGCCACACAAGTCTGTGCAACTCCTTGAGGCAGTACTTGACCACATAGTCACAAGGCTGGTTCCCTTGTGTAATTATTTGGTTTCTAGAGTTATTGCAGAGATCTGCTAACCACACTCACCAGGCTGCGACCAAGAAGGGAAGATGAACAGTCACACAATTATTTCCGTAAGAAATCTATGAATTCTTCTTAGCTATCAGGTCATTTGACTAACGTTAATAACCATTCATGATACTTGAATCAAAATCACTGTGCGCAGCTAAGCGTGATATCCTTGGAAAGTGAAGGGGGTAAAAAAACCCCCCACAAAAGAACCTGATCGAGTCTTAGATCTTCCAGTAGATAGGGCTGGAATTAAAGTTCTACTCCTTACCAGGTATTCAAACTACTTTTGTAACTCGCATTTATTGTTAAGAAGTGTGCTTTAACAGTTTTATTAAATAATCTTTTTTGTATAAAAATTGCTGAACTAAGACCTGAAACCAACTCTTACTTAACACGGAAAGAAAAGTCTGTACTCGCCTCAGAAAGAACTAGTTTACATAAATATTTTCAAATTTCAGTGTGAATGTTTTTCTTTAGAACTCCACCTAAAGCTAACTAGACTTGAGTAACTAGAACTTCTCCACTAGAATGAAAAACATATGCCTCATTTTTTCCTCCATTACAGTCAATAAAATCAGGTGGTCTGTTTTACCATTTTAAATACGCTGAAATCATAAGGTGTTCTGAAAGGTTGCAGAATAGAACAAGTAAGATAGAGAGCAGCCTAGCGTAAGATATCTGTGTATTTTGAGAAAACAGAATTGCTCAGAAACGCAAAACCAAGAGGCTGAAAAAGAAACGTAGTATTTTATCTCACTTGCACGTATCCTGTTACTAACACCCAATGAGCTATCTTTACCTTGTTTCTAACTGTTTTATACTAGACTGCATTTGCTGCAAGCGTTTGTCAGATGCCATTTCTCTTTGCTGGGCAGATATCACATCTTCTTCCTAGAAAGAATATACGTATTATCCGGACATCATCTGAGCTTTCCTGAACAAAATAAAGATATACTAACATAAAACAAGTTAGAGAACCACTTGCAATGAATTTAGCATCGGCATTCAGATAACTGACGAACCATTCAATTGCAATAGAAGATTATTCCTTTCTCTAGAATACCTTTCTCTCCAATTGGCCTTGAAGCTTCTCTGTTAATCTGGTCAACTCATCAAGCTTAGCATTTGCTGCCCGCCCATCTATTTTGGCTTGCCTGTATAAAGAAAACAGTCTATGAATTACATTTCAATTATTATAGGAGAAAAAAAATTACTCCATTGCAACTTTTGTGAAATAGCTGTGAAGGGCAGTCAGATTTCATAATCCTGTTCCTACAGGGCAGAAAAGGTTTCCCCCTTCTTCTCCTTCTTACTATGTGGCAGTGAGAGAGGAATACCAAATGCATTAAACAATTGTCCTGTGGAAATTAATTCTTAAAGATAGCTTAACAAGAAGAGGTATGTGTTAAGTATTTGGAGGACTAGGCAATCAAAAACTTTAAGTGATTCAATAACTCAAATATAATTGGCCACAGATACTTAATGAAGAAATATTTTTCAGAATTAGATTTCACTTTTTAAAGCAATTTGACTCGGAATTAAGAAAAAAAAAATCATTAACCACTTCTGAAGAATTTAACTGATGTGCTGTGTAATCTGAAGAGGTTTGACGAGCTGAAACAGAAAAGGAAAAAAAAAAAAGGACTAGTTAATGAATCAGACTTCCTCCTCAGTAGACAAGCTTATTCAAATGAGCAACCCTCCTACTCCTCTGACTTGGGAACAGGAAGACATACAGGGTCCTTCACCTGGGGTGTAACCCAACTATTCAGGCTGCATATTAGGCTAAATTTAAAGACCAATGATTGACTGTATGATAAAGTTAAAAAAGAGCAAACGTATTAGATAATCTAACGCACACTGGAGCACTAATAGCCATGAAAGAAGCTAGAAAATATTTAATACTGTTACGAATCAACTTCAGGCAAAAATTCCTTACAGAAATAATATTTTTGATTTAATGGCATAAAAGACAAGAGCATATTACACCTATATGAAAGTCTTAAGCAAAATATACATAATCCCAGCAATTCTACAGCATATACTTAATTTCAGCTTAATTAATCAGAAAGCCTAATTTTGTTATCTTTAAAAAGCAAAACCAAAGAAAAAACCATTATTCCCAGACATATGGTCCTCATTGCAGGTCCAAACCTTTGATTTTACTCCATCTGAATCATGCACCCTTCTCCTAAGGAAAGTACTGTTAAGTTTATGAGAACATTAAGTTGCTTCCCCCCAAAACATTTAAAAGTATTTAAAATGTGTTGTAAAACAAAACAAACTAACAACTCAAAACCCAGCACAAGAAAGGAAAAATAAGAAAAATATAAAGAGGTCATAAAACTCAGAACAGCTTAAGTATTAAAAATGCATTTTAATGACCAAATTCAGTTTCAGGTAACATTTAGAGGTGCGTGCTTAACACACAACAAATCAATTCTAAAGATGCAGCTTTTATTCTTCACTGTGCAAGATATCTTTAACATAATCTTGGCAAGTTATCTCTGTTTAAAAGCTTTAAGATTCTGAAATACCGATACCTGCCTGAGCAATGCCAAGTTTCCATCCTAGCAATGCCAAGGCGCATTGCAAATTGGCGTTTTTTTAAAACTACGTTTCCTCTCCAGACTTGTTACTCTATCACCATAAATCAAAACACTAAAGCACTAATAAGTGCTTTAATAAAAATTCTAGTATATAAATAAATGAAATCTATTCAAACCTCAATTCTCTACAGAAATGCATCAAATATTACACTGTCTCTATGCATGGCAGATTATGACCCCTTAACAGCTAGCATAACTACATAAATAGTACGTAAAAAGTACAGTGTAACTATACATTTTATATTGGGTTTATATTAACACTGATGAAAAGCAATGACTCAGTTCTCAAACACTTCTTAAGAAGTTGTTGCCCAAATTTCAGGTTTTTTATTTTGGGTAAGGTCAGCTTCTGATCTAAAGGAAAAAAGCTAATATCATCCTGAAAGTAACTTCCAGCAGGACTCTTAATTTTGTCTTCTTTTCCCCAGATTACTTGCCAAAACTTAATCTGGCAGTCTTCCTTTAGGCACACATACTGGAGATATAGGATGACAATATATCAGGAGCACGTTTAAGGTGTTTTATGGCTACGTGTCTCAAACTATATACTTTGCTATATATTAATCTTAAAATACCTAAAATTTATCAACGTACATTTATAAGCTTAGCAACATCAAAAGCTCCAAAATTACACTCAATCTAGGCCATACAAACTTAAATCAAACCTAAATTCTCCAATACATAAGTTGGGGTTTTTTTAAATCTACTTTTCCTCTCCAGACTTGTTACTCTATCACCATAAATCGATGTAAACCTATTAAAAACATCCAAAAGGATTAGAATTGTCTGCAATACATGCTATATAATCCATGCAAACTACATGTATGTAACTTCACGTTAGAGAAACAACTGGTGAAAATATTCCAGACTTCTTGGAGAATCACTGCAGCACTCACTTCAGAGCTGTATAAAGCTGCTGTCATTAGCTTTGTGAGTATTACATAGTACTGTTTTTAGGGTTGCAAGAACTTTTAGCTGATCTGAGAGGAATGTGAGAGTAATCAGTGCCTGTAATTAGAGATGCCAAATTCCTCTAAAACCCTCTTTGCCCAAAACTGAGGACGCTATGAGGAGAGTAACGACGACAAAGGTTGCTCGTGATCATTGCCAGCCAAATTAAACAGTTACGAGGAGACTTCTGACAAGATGACAGCTTGAAAGGAGACATGAAAACTTGTGGCTGTGGGTGACGGACCTTAGAGTGACAGCCCAGCAGTGAAGCTGTGTTTGACACTGTCAGGAGTCACTGCATGGGCATTGCCACCTTTTCCCAAACCTGAGAGCAGCCGCCCCACCAGACACCATGAGTAGCCTGCACCCAGCTGGCAGCCCAGGGTGAAATAAATGGGGACCAACATATGAGGTGTGTGCACGGGAACTCAAGGGGTGCTTTCTCAGCAGAGCACAACTAGCAGACTTCAGGAAGCAGCACAAGTACACATGAAGCTGGAGCCCCCACACCTCCAGCAGGAGGGGTGTGCAGGTGGCGGAACATGTACTTCCCAAAAAGGGAGTATCTGTGCACACGTGCACACGCTTTTAATCCATGCTTCCTGTGAGAGAGGGTGTGCGTACCTAAGAAAAGAGCGTGTGAGATCAGTATTTCATGGGATCAATTACAGAAGGCTGTTTACAGATTTCTCTTTGTTTCTTAATATATCACAAATGCCTAGTATCACAGTTTACCTGTCATATTATTAATATTGATCATTAATGTATAGGCCACTGATTGTACATTTATTGATTAGTGGCATGCAGTTAACTGCTTTGATTGACTTAAGCCACGTTTGTTGAGCAGTCATGCCCAGCTAGAACTTATTAACTCAGAAATCTCTGTGTTCTGAAATGAGATGACTTCTCCAGTCCTGTGGATGGAAGTCTAAATTCACTCACAATTTCACTATTAACAAAAAAAACCCCAGCAACTAATCAGAAACATGTGTATATATTTGGGCATGTGTGAGTGAAAGTTAAGAGCAAGATGGTCCACTGGCTTTCAGTCAGTCCCAAGGACTTTTTGATACACCTTCTTCCTCAAGCAGTAGTTTAAGCAGAAAACATGCACTTGCCTTCTACTATCCACACTCACTCCCATATAGGAAGTTATACAGATCCTTTTGTGTATGCATGACTACAAATCAAAGACTTTGGTCATTTGGGTTGTCATGCCATATTCTAAATTATTTGATCAAAGTAGTATCATTAAGGAATTTCATATAACTCCAAGGATCAAGCCTAAAAAAGCATTTCCTTTTAAAAAATGAAATAAAGATGAGACCAAAGGAAATCATGACATCTGTAATTTTGACAAAAACAGTCAACTGGCTGCTCAATCACAGCCCGAATGATTTTAAGTTTGGGGTGGGTTTTTTTATTCTTTTTAATCAAAACCACTGAGAGTATTAGAAATGCAGTAACAAACTGAATGTTGATAGCATTTATTGAATGTCTAAAATAGGTTCAGTTAATGCTAATTGCTTTCATACCCACTTATTACATGAGTTGATGTAAGCATGTCAAAGATTTACAGATGAATGAGATACCAAAACAGTAATTCAGTACTAATACCCTCTCCAAGGAAACAAATTGTAAAAAAGTAGGGATATGAAAGTGGTGTTCTTTCCCTTTTAAGAAGTAAATAGTAGCATGCACAAGCAAACTGCAAGTGATGACTGAGTTTGGAAATACTTTATTTTAGCAAATACCCTGAATACCACCTTAATCTTTGAATGCTTGTCACAATATTTTCCTTCTCCAAAACACGCTATTTTTTATAATAGTTTTTCCATGGAAAAATATTGACTAATAAAAATAAGAGGTGCTAACAAGTCTCCCTCAAAAACACATCTTCAGTGATTGAGGTAACTTGGCATTTGTAAGCAGGTTCTGGTGCTAAATTTATTGTACAAAGGAAATGTAAAAATAAACATTGTTTAAAACAAATAAAATGTTTCTAGTAAGTAAATCATAATGTACTAAGCAGGGGGTGAAAGCTGAATACTAGAAGCAGCTGATTTTTATTGCTCTAACAGCAATAAAGTTTAGATACAACCAATCTTGAAAAAAAAAAAAGACCAATTTTTAAATTGGTTAATAAATACTCAACAATGATCAATATTCAACACTAATGAATCTGTTCATTCGCTCTAAACCTGTATCTTGCACTGTGGGTATTGTGACTCAGTAACTTTAATATCTACGAATAGTACAACTAGACTCATTAAACAGATGCTGAAATTTGTGTAACACCCAATTTTTACAGTGATAAGCACTTAGCATTCCAACAGATACCAATTACTCTCATGTAATATTTTGTATGGGTTTGGAAGAGAGGAGAGGGAACGTCTGATGTAGCCATTCTTTCTTGGAGGGATAAAATCAGTATCAGCATGCGTTCAGCCAACCTAGGTTTCTGAACACCAGTATTACCTGCAAACCCTGCATACAAAGTTGAGTGCATGAATGCATGCGTGTGAACAAACACATACAGCCATCTTTAACTATTTACATAAAAATGGAAATTATTTTTACCATTTTGGGGGTGATGTTCCTTAAAATCAAAAGATAAAACTAACTAAAACATCATAGCAGATGAACCATACTAAATATTTTAATCACAGTATCAAAGCAAAATATGATAATTAAACTAAAATTTAAGTACATTTTAAAATAAACTTTTAAGTTTACAAGTTTAAAATTTATAAAGTTTGTTTAAAGCTTTAGGTAACGCTATACAAAAAAATATCACTGGTTGATAACGAATCTGTTTCCTTTTTATTGTCAATCCACAAATTCACTGTTTACTGAAATTAAATTTTAGTTTGACCTCAACCATCACTAAGTATAAGAGTTAACAGATACAGTAAACTGGCATTGAACAGACTATTGCTGTAAATACAAATAATCATGAAACCATCTCGCAGGTATTTTTCTCATTTTCTTTGATATACTTCAGGAATATAATTAACACTTCTCTTACCTCTAACTTCCAAAGAGCCTGTAGTTTAGAGCTCTTTACTGACAAACAGTGAATGGAAATTTTATTAAAAACATTAAAACGTGAACATTCAAATTTCAGAACTGTAACGAGTAATGATGTAACTGGATTTTGAGCAAGTTGTTTCTAATGAAAACCCATCTTCAGAGTCAATTTTGTTGTGATACTGACACTTTGTTCCTTTTAAATCCAAGGTCAAATACTGAATATTTCAGGAAACAGCTGAACCAAACAACACTAACTGGAAATATGCTACCCTAACGCTAATGATGCACACATTTGTAACAAACTTAAGAAGCATTAACTAAAACCATTGTAACTATCACTATCAAGTGATACAGTGCCCATGATACAAGGCCCATGATACAGCAGCAGGTTAGAAAAAGCTATAGAAAAGTTATTTAATAATTTTTAAATTGCCTGGTTTATACCTCAGTTGTTTTCGTAGCTGCTCCAGTTCCACATTCTGTTCTGTTACAGTTTTCAGAAACTGTTGATTGCTCTGCAAAATAAGGAGATATTTGTAACATGTTCCTTACTGTACTGAAAATGTTATATATTCGTAATTGTTACAGGGCATTTCTGCAGAACATAATACCATAAAAATAGCCAATAATGTCTATTTAACACTGCAGCTGGTCTCCAACTGCCAAGGTTTAGGTACAATATTTTATAACGGCAAATGCAGAGTGATGTTACCTAATCCCCACCTTCTTTCCCCATATTTTGGTAGTGTAAGAAATTCCCAAGATGAGACTTGTAATAGCTTAGACCTACCATCTACATTCCCATCTAGTTTAGGTGTCTAGAATACCTTGTCACAATCAGTACCACAGTAGACCACGTACTGCTGGAAAGAATTCCTTTGTTTCAGAGGCAAGAAACAATGAGCAATTGCTCCTCCTTCATTTTTTCTACATCAGCCATAGTGCCGGAGGGGTCATTCTCCTTCAAACTGTCTTCTCATTTGAGAATCATTTCATATTTTTGTTATGCTACTAGCCTTTTCTAGATCTTACATATACATGTATCTTACACTGAGATATCAGAGATGACCACAACTGCAGGCAGCATTCAAGATGCTACTGTACTATGGACTTAAGCACAATATATTCCTTTTCCCCCCTCTCCTAATAATTGCTAACATTCTTCTTGCTTTTTTGACTGTTGCTAAGAATTGTTTTCAGACGCTTCCTACTTCTAAAAGACCTATTCTGAGCAATAACAGTCAATTTCGAGACCATCACAGGGTACCCAAAGCAAAAGCTCCCTCTTGCCCACATGCATTATTTTGCTTTTATTAATACCAGTGAAATGTCAGATAAAATTCACTCAGATACTCAACATCATGAGATTTTTCTGCAAATTTCTGTAGTTTACTTCAGTTTTCACTACCCTAAGTAGTTTAACATCAGTGGTGAACACTGTTGCCTCAATACTGAATCGCATTTCCAGAACACTTACAAATATGCTGAACAGCTCTAAGCCTGAGCACATCTAGGAAACACAGCTGTTTTACCACAATAAAAAAACCTAATTACTCTGTCTCTTCACTTCCTATTTTTCAGTTTGTTAGTTCAAGAAAGGACATACTGCTTTATCCCATGACATCTTTATGCCTTTGGTAACAGACCTCGCCAAATGTTTTTTGGATAATGCAAACTAATAGATTACCTTTATCTTAACATCATCTGTTTCATCTCCTTCAAAGAGTTCACATATTTCACTCTCTCCTCTGCACATCATCTCTTTCCAATTTTATGATTTTAAGCATTCAGTGATTCTATTTTTTTGAGGTACCTACCTACTACTGATTTGCTTGTATTCCAAATCCTCAGCAAAACTGCTTTAAAAGCTGAACATTGTATTTGCTTGAGATTGTTTTCAGACAACAACCTCCCAGTAACTCTAAAGTATCTATCTTCAGAGAAGAGTTAATTTTGAGACCATCACTGACTACACAAGGAAAAAGTTCCTCTCCAAGGGCATTATTTTGCTTTTATTAATACTAATAAAATAGCTTGTAAACAGGACAACTGCTCGCAAGATACAATTCTGTAGTAGTCTGCAATATACTACTCAACATTGGCAGGGGCTCAATGGGAGTATTGTTCAAGACAATAAATATTTTTCAAGACAACCGTACAGTTCAAGAATGATGGCATAATTGGAAAGAATTTAAAGGTGAGCAGGAAGAATGATTAGACATCTTAAAAACATAGTCAAAGAACATTTAAAGACTTGACTTGCTTTGAACAGAATAGAAAAAGCAGGGAAAGGGAAAAGATGGCAATATAAGTTTTCAATAACAGGCACCATGACAAAGAATGTACTAATCTTTCCTTCATACCTACAATATTTCACACCAAAGAAACAGGCTTATATTCTAATAGGTCAGATGTGAGGAAAAGAGGTTCCAGTGATAAAGACAGAAGAGAATAGACTACCTAGAGTAGGTTAGGAGTCTTTCTTCACTGCCAGTATCCAAGACAAACATTAATCAAAAATCACACAGGAATCGTGTCTTTCAGAGAAGCCACCGAGCCGGGAACTTCACCAAGACTTCCACCTCAATTTTTCTACCATATTAAAATTGTTTGTCAATCCTGGAAGTCCTACTTTCAAGCTTAGAGACTAAGAAGTTTCACAATCTAAGAATATGGATGAAACAGTAGAAGATGATTAGAGCTCAGAAAAATCCTTGAAAAGGTCAACTACAGACGCTGAAGCCAGCAGTGTGAAACTAGGAATCAATAAACATGTGGTAGAGCTAGCCTATGTAAGAGGTCATAATTTAAATAAATTTTTCCTTGAAGATGGTTTTGAATGCGTGACTGAAGTACACTCACCAAATACTAAAATTCTGAGTGTAAGCTTACCACTGACTTCTTGAAGACCTCACATAATATTAAGAGCTAACCTCTCAACCACACTGACATGGTGTTTGGAGTTCAGGAAAAAAGCCATTGATTTTTGACTGGTCCCTTGAGAAGTCTGTAAATCTGAGTAGTACAAGTTCTTTTCCAACCAGGTATGTATGAAGGGCTTTCTCCTTTTCTTTTATACTTTGAGGCTTTAGTAGGAAAACCACCATAATTTACTGGGTCACTGTTCAGAAGGTTTTACTTACCAACTCTATTTTCTCATTGGCTATATGCAGTTGCTGAGTCAACTGTTGAAAGCCAGTCAGTTGATCCTAAAAAGAGAATTCAGAGCTTCTTGTAATCATTATCATCATAAAGAGCGTATAATTAGACAGTTTCATAGCCAACGGAAGACATTCTCAAAAAAATTTATACATGTTGCAGGAAATTCAATATGCCTTTGTAAATTTTAATTAGATTGCTTTTAGCTGCTGACCTAGTAATCTGGCAAATTAGATTTACTACGAAAAACGTATCTGAATTTCACTCAGTTACAAACTGCCTCCTTCCAACACTCATACACACTTAATATAAAAATATGAAAGCATACATGAGTAGTACCTTTAAAGAGTCACACACAGACTACGACGCTACTATAAGCATTTTTGCTAAGCACAGTAGCAGACATGTACCCCTTAATTAAAAAAAAGCCTGTATGGACACATTTAATTTGCTCTTTGCCATATAGGATGTCTTGTGTCCATACAAAAAATTGTTTGATTCAACTGTTGAGTCCCTGAATGTGAACTGTGCCTTCCTAGGAAAGCTAGCATAACACACACGCAAAAAAAAATTCATCTGCAGCAGGCCAAGTGTCTTCAGAGCATAGAGAGAACTCAAGTCACTGAGCTGGAGTATCTACTACTTGTGCTGTGTTTAACAGTCTCAAGGCCAAGTATATGCCAGAAAGCTATTCCAACAATGCCCTTATTTACAATGTCCAACCCTTACAATGATATCCTCTTTCATCTTTGCTTTCTGTCAATTCTAATTCTAGTTGGTCTTACCTATTTACCTCTGATAACTATTTCTGCTCCTCCATTAAAAGCAACACCTAAAAAAAGTTTATTTAACTGAAAAGTCTTTTTCTGTGGGAGACCAGCAGCATTTAAGAATAAAAGGCAGCTCAACCTCATTCTTGTTACAGTGGCATTAAAATCCACCAAGAGTTTAGTTACCGTGGGAAAGTGGAATCTGACAGCTCTAAACCCTCCAACAGCTACCAATGACTCTGTATGCTCTACTATGTGTATGTTACCAGTAACTGACAATGCAACACAAGAAATAATCTAACAGAAGGAACAGGAGCAAAAAGTCAGAACTACACAGAGCTAAGAGTCCTCATAACTATCACGTGAAATAATTATGAAACGTGACAGAGCACAATAGTTGTACAGATATTTTTCGTGTTTCTCAGAAAAGAGCATATTACTGTGGTGGACTTAATACCACAACAGAACAAAAATCAGTTAGAAGAAAAATCTGTTATATAGGTGAGCTGTAGCTGAACCACAAGTCTAGCATACTTGAAAATGGAAAGAAAATGTTAAAAATTTGTAGCATCTCTTTACAGACCTAGAAGTATCTGTAGCGAGGTACATAGAAGCATGAAGTTTCTATTAGTGCGTCACACACTGAGCCTCTTCATATAGCTCGTCAGAGCAAAACGGCTTCTTTTCCAAACTAAGATTTCCTGAAGGGCCTTCCCCAGAAACGGCAGAAGAGAAACATGCTGCTAAACACAACCTAGCATTAGAAGAATGCTGCTGAACTTGGCTTTTCATCTGTTTACACATGCTTCTTTACTGAATGACAACAGGAAGTGGAGACTACTTTTCCCACTATCCCACGGTGACCTTACAGGCAAAATTCAGGATTCACACACACGAGAAAACGTTAAATACTTCCACCTTAGAATTCAGAAATCTTTAGCAGCTTTTTCAGATGTTGCACTTTACTGAAGATTTCCAACCATGCAATTCAAACACATGATTATTTATATGCACATGACTATCTTGTGCACTTATACATATATATGCACTAAGACTTGGACTCAGTGCATTCCCCAAGCTCTTGCCCATATACTTGAAACAAAGAACTTCTCCAATCATAACAGTGCATTTAACTGATGAATCAGTGACCGCATCTGATCACTCAACTTTAGATGACTATTATGGAAAATAATTAACAGTACTGGTAGAATCCCCCACTTTAGTTTGGCTACACACAGACCCAGAATCCCTACAGTATAGAAAAACATTCAAAAATTAACAAAAATATAAATGAAAATTACTTTCTGCTTTTGCCTTTCAGCCACGTGAATCTGCGTTTCAGTCATGCGTTCCTGGTACTGCTGTTGGAGTCGATCATGCTCCTGTAACACCGTCTGCCAGAGCTCTATTGCTTGTTCTTTTTCCTAAGTTACAGAACAACGATTTGTATAAAATATTCTATTACAGCAAATTTACCTTCATCGATTATTCTCTAAAAAGAGAAATCTCAACTTCTATTTTGAAGAAATGCCATTTTCTGTACTTTTCTCTGCACACATTACAACTACACAGACAAAATACCAAATTCAGGCACAGAAAAAGATGCTTACAAGTTCAAATTCCACCTACAAATGAATTGCAAGTTGTCCAGACTTTTTTTTATAGCTCAAACTTTTACAAGTATTTACTGTAGGCCTACAGTAAATATCCAAATACCAAAATTAAGCTGTCAGTTCAACTTAATCATATGCAACAGGATTGATACTTCATTGTAATAAGCTCAAAAAATTTTCCCTTATCTTTTCAGAATATTTAAATATTATTTCCTATATCCCACATATACTTGCCTCCTTATATCACATTACAATGTTTTTGATTAAAATGACAAGCTACTACAAAAACTTGAATGGAACAAAGTATTTCATTAATTTCCTGGTCAGGAATTCAATATAAAGATCAAGCCAACTAGGTAAAATTAGAGACACAAATTAATATTAAAAACTTCCTATATGAGTCTAGGAGAGAAGTTCCTTCAGGTTTTTAAGTTGGAAGTATAAGTACTTGTTTCTTTAGCTACAGAAAGTCAAGAGGGCCTCAAAGTAAGTCTCAAGGAACTCTGAACAAATGAATTCTGAATGAATAAATAAACCAGCTTCCCCTCATCTGCCAAGGCACAACAAGAGAAATAAAACAGTACAAATGTTTCATCTCACACACTTGATTCATCAGTTGTAGTTGTTCTTGAAGGTTTCTCACTATTCTTTCATCTGCAGGAATATCAGTTCCCAGAGGCATGAAAGGAAGAGCATCCAGTTGCTTCTCAAGAGCCTCTTTCAACTCTGCATGCAGCCTGAAACTCAAAGTAATACTTTGCTGAGCTTAGTTCTTCAGCAGGGATTTTTTTAACAACTGAACTATACTGTACCTTCAATCTGCACATACTATTTACTTCTAACTCATATTTAAATCTATTAAGTTATGTTCTATAAACACAGTAGACAGTTTGAAACAGTTTAATACCTAGTTCTTCTAGAGATGTGGTTAAATCTCCTAAACCTGGTGCTTTAATCTGTATTAAGCACTTAAAGACTCTAACATTAAGCTCGTGAGTATGAGATCTTCAACTCTTAAGTAGATTCAAAAGATTTCAAGGTCCTAGAAAAAAAAACTTTCTAAGGTTTAGAAATCAAGAAAAACAGCAATAGTAACAGGGCAGTGCAATTATTTACCTTTCATTTTCCTTGGTGACTTGTTCAAATTTTAGTCTCATCTCACTCATTTGTGCCTAACACAAAAACATGCAAGAGTAAGCACTCATTTAAATGACATAAGCTTTGGTAATTCTTTCATCTTCTAACTGACGGATACTGTACAAGATGGACAATTTAGTTCAGCATAATAGAGTAAATGAAAGAGTAATCCAAAGTTACTTTCTTTTTTAAGGAAAGTCACAGGATGCCACTTAAAATTTAACAGCTGCTAAGTCCTATTATATCTGAGAATTCAGAAGTTATTATGAGCATTAAACTTACCTTTTGGAATTCTTATAGCTCTTACAGATTGATTCTTAATTAACTCATGTTATTTTAGGGATACAGTGGATAACTCTCATCGTTTATGCAGTAAGCATTTAAGACAAGAGTTTAGAAATTAAATGAGGAGAAACTTCAGTTACAGGAGTCAAATGGAGTGTTTTGTTAACTACGCAGTGCAACACCACCATAGTGCTTCTACTGCCTACTGAAATCGGCCAAGCTTGAAGACTGTATTTGCAGAATCTTTATGATGGACAGAGCGAACAAGTTAAGTTAAGTGCATTAAACCGAAACCAGAGCATAACTGCTGCATGTAGATCACAAGTACAAATTGCTTTCTGTATGCCACAGGTTTTAACTATTAAACACATCACTGTGCTTTTTGGTGATCATATGAAGCATTAAAAAGTTTCATTTTTTCTGTGGTTGAAAGGAGGACAGTCCCCCCTCCACCTCAGCCTCTATTATAATAATGATTTAAATAATTACTTGAATCTGAAGATTTATTAAGAATGACGAAGACTGGGTGTATCTACACTTGCAGGACTGAGCTGGGCTGCACGGCCAAGATCAGACCTGTAAGGAAAGGCGGAAACAGCTGCCTCATCTGAATGTCCTGCAAATACCTACAACCTTATCAGAACATCTAGAGAAATAAAGCACACGTTTCATGTCACAACACTACTTCTCCAAACACACGGTAACCTGTGCAATTTGGACAATGTCCCAAAATTTTCATAGAAAGCTGTCCGTTCATCCATTTGCGGCAGACTGCAGTCCAGCAAGTTTGTGAAGCATGGTGCAGGCACACTTTCCTTTTATTGACAAAAACTAATGGCCTAGATATTAACGCTATAAAATACTAAGAATATACAGTTTGAAATGTTACAAACATCCATACCTGATAAAGCTGCAGCTGTTCTCTCATTTCTTCCAAGTGTTTATCATACTCTGTGATTAGAGTTGACAAGCTAAAAAGTTGAAAAACATGCTTAGAATAAATTTTGTAAATGCTGAAATTGTTCTGATAATTAACTAGTTTTACAGAATTCTTAATCTAGAGAACAGAACAAAACAGTGACTTTTCTTTATTTCCAAACTCAATATTCACCAGAATCAAATGAACAAGTTTAATTACTAGTTTTAAAGTGTGATCATTAACAGATTTCCTGTACAACAGAAATAGAACATGGGACATTATAAATGAGCTTTAATACAGCATTAGTATTTCATCCATAGAATCCAAACAATTAAAGACTAGACTTTGCTACCGCTTTCACATACAACAGAAAAGCGGCCTATAAGACAATGTAAAATAATGTAGTTCTACTTAGGTACTTTTTCCTTCCTAATATTTTTGTACCTGATAGCAATTCTCTGAAAATTCTGTATTAGTCTGGAGTGATAATGCCTTAAAAGCTAACATGAAAGGTTAGGTTATTTTTATAACAGAAACAAAGTGACAAAGATTATTAAACAATTTACTAGTAGGCAACTGTTAGCTGAAGACTGTCAAAAAAGCATTGTTAAAAACATCCACCATACCTCAACAGACAGCAGTTACCTGTGTTACCTAGATCAGTACAACCTTACCTGCTTTAACTTTTGTTTATTATCTTAAAATTTAGACTAGAGAATTCCTTCATTCATCTCTCATCCTTTATTTTACCAATTGTGCAAGAAAAGTCATATATTTACTGAATAAAGAGAATGGTATCTAAAAACAACTGCTACAGGAACAGTTTTACAGACCTCCATTCACAAGTTCTCAGAGCCATACATACATGTATGTAAGACCAGGATCACCTGGATATTTACACTTTTAAAAGCACATGACAATTTCTTTTGAATACTCTGCAGTATTCCCACTTATTTGGAATCACTTACCTTTGGTCCATCATCCTGGATCCTGATATGCCATCACCACCAGGAGCGCTTTTCTGTAACGGTATACTTTATATATTAGTACTTGCACATGACTGCATGTAGTTTTAAATTTTTATATGCAACCCAAAGCTGTTGTTCTGCCCGTACTGTAATCATACACAATGTCCCACATGATCACTTCCAGGTTTATGTTCTAAAGTCCTTGAGTGCTGGCCCAATTTGAAAAAATTGTAATTTTTTTTCCCCTGGAGATGCTCTGATATAAAGCATAATTGCACCTGAGGGGGAATCATCTTGCTCTTAAAAGAATAATCATAAGTTTGTGTAAGTGCTAAGTTCATTTCTGTGCATCTCAGCATCAGGAAAGTGCTGATGCCCTAGCTTCTGCACAGACTTTCCGACAGGCTTATGGTACCCCGAACAGAAAGTTATCTTCACAGGAGACCAATCTCTTAGAAAAGAGAAGTCTATAAAAATGAAAAAGTCTATTAAAGACAAGTATTCTTTCAGGGATATGTTCTCCTGCATATGACAAACTTTTGAAAATGCACCAGAAATATCAGAATTCACTGTTACAACAGTTTTATTCTGCTGCTGCTCAAAAAACAACACGCAACTCTAGAGTTGTGTGATGGACCCAAAGCAAGGCCAGGCCACATTGTAGTGGGCTACACTCTGTGCATGCAAAGATGTTTGTCTCAAGGCCTCATCACAAAAATTCTTATTACTTCCATCCCCAAGTTCACATACCCGCTCAGCAGTAGCTCTCAAAATCACATCTGTTTCATAATGTCCAAGTGCCACATTTAGCCTCTGATCTGAAAAATACAAAGTTTGAGAATCATAGCTACAGCATGGGCCATTATCTAGGTTCACCTGACTGGCAGTCAGAATTATGTTTAACAGTGTAGTGCTTTGAAGGCACACAACATGCGTCATAAAATTCTTCCATTTAGCACAACTATTGTAATGAAAATAGGACTTGAAAAAGCTGACAAAGACAGTGTAATAATAATGAATTCAATTTCTTTCATATTCCTTCTGTTTTCTTTCAGAAATTTTAAAAAAATGAAGTTTCTGCCTAGAAAACCCACAAACACATACACATCTTAATGATTCACGAGGTCTTGATGAGACAAATGACATTGTGTGTCCAATTCAATTAGCTGGATGTTTGGCAATCAACCTGTTGTTGGGAACTCAATCCTGCAGTTCTCAATAAACTTTCAACAAGCTTAGGTCAAGAGAGTGTCACTGATAAATGGATCTGAGCACTCAAGTATATCCAGAAGAAACCCAAACAAGAATGAAGAAATGCAGTCTGCCAGTATCTGCTTTGTCTGAAAGAAGCAAAGCATAATGAGTAATGAGATTTCACACTGCTGAGCCGGGAGCATCAACTACGGCATCACTCCTCCTTACTCATCTAACTTTGGCTATTGGGATTTCAGAGACTACTTGTACTACAAATGAAAGAACCAGCAGAAGGTTCAAAGGGAGAAGTAACAGCTCTTTCCACTCATTCATGGAGTGTTTTTTGATCTAACAAACCCACAGTGTAACCAGCCAGTCAAATGAGGTGATTATCCTGCTGTATTTGGCATTGGTGCGACCTCACCTCAAGTGCTGTGTGCAGTTCTGGGCCCCATAATTTAAGAAGGATGTGAGGGTCCTTGAATATATCTGGGGTCCTGCATCCAGAGGAGGGCAACAAAGCTGGTGAAAGGGCTGGAAGGAATGTCCTGTGAGGGGTGGCTAAGGGCTTTGGGCTTGTCTAGTTTGGGGAAAAGGAGGCTGAGAGGCAATCTCATTGCTCTCCACAGCTTCCTGAGGAGGGGAAGTGAAGCGGGACGTGCTGGTCTCTTCTCCCTGGGATCCAGCGACAGGGCGCGTGAGAACAGTTCAAAGCTGTGCCAGGGGAGGTTCAGGCTTGACTTTAGGAAACTTTTTTTTGCCGAGAAGGTGGTCAAACACTGGAACAAGCTCCCTAGAGAGGTGGTCGATGCGCCAAGCCTGTCAGTGTTTAAGAGGCATTTGAACAATGCCCTTAATAACATGCTTTAACTTTTGGTCAGCCCTGAATTGGTCAGGCAGTTGGACTGGATGATCATTGTAGGTCTCTTCCAACTGAAACATTCTATTCTAGTTTGTAAGAGCCTGAGTGACACCTTTGTAACTGGAATGCGTAAAGAGAAAGAAAAAGGAAGTCAGGAAGGTTAACGCATACATTTCGATTTAAAACAACTTCTTGCCTATTTTTCTTGATGCACGTCCCGTAGTAGTTCTTCTGGTTCTAATCTTCTAAAGGAGGATATAGGAAAAAGACAGAGGGGATTGAAAGGAGGTAATAGTAAAAGGATGCCAAGGAACAGGAAGGGGAAGGTAGCTGCCCTCACCAGCCAAAGCAGTCTGCAAACATGAGAGGCCATAAGTGCAAAAGGGAACAAATCTTAAACACCCCTTACAGATGTGCTCACCTTCAACAGTGAATCATTAAATACATTCTGACAAAGGTTCTATGTGTTTAGTAGCTTATCACAAAAATATGTAATGTAATGGATGAATTATTGTTTGTAGGGTTGGCTGCTGATACTGCGGAAAGCATTCAGGTATTTGTAACTGATCAGTACCAGAGACTAGCATTTCATTCTGAGAACCTTCTTTACAGCTACATATTTAACACAACAAATATTTATCCTACAAAGCTAAATATCATAGTGTTTACAGAATCTTTTTTCATGTGTATTACACACATTCAGCATTTTAGAACTTTGATTTCACATTCATGAAACAAGAGAAACATCAATCCATATACCAGACTTAGAGTAGGCCTCAAATGCCCTATGTCTCAGCTGGCATGCAAGCCCACTTCAAATCTTTCATTTGGCACCTTTCAAAACGTATGAAGTTTTTTAAAGAAAGAATTAAACTCCTTGACAGAAAAGGCAACTCCTACCACTTCACAGTGAATTTAGTCTGAGCTGTATTTAGAGCCTAAAGATTTATAAAATAAGAAGCTATACGTATACAAATTAAATACATATGAAAAAGCAGAATACCAATATTTGAAAAGCCATGATTTGTTCACATCACAGTATAATAAACACTCATGCCAAGCTCGGTAAAGATATGGGATTTTGAGCCGGGATGACTCCACTGGCTCAGGCAGAAGCTCTTCCACTACTAAGGTCCTTTCAATCAAGAGCTAGTCTTTCACCTTTGGCCAAAGCTGTCATACAAAGTTTAGTATCAATTGAAATTTTGATTTTTTCAGTGATGTACAGCCATCGCACTTTATGCACTGTGCTCTTGTCCTACTTCCTGCCATGCTATTAAGTTTTCCTGCAACACTAATTAGGGATAGGGACAGTAACACACTTGGGACGACACATCAACCCATTCTCTATTTATAGGAATATGTGCAGAAGCAATTCCTGCCAGGATTTTGCTGCTAAGTGACTAAAGTGTACTCCAATCGTATTAAGCTTATGTTAACATTATCAAAGTTGTAACAAAGAACACTTAATTAAAAATACTGATTTTAGTCGGTAAAGCAAATTTTAGGAGTAAGTGGCAAGACAGCTTTTTCGCCTTCCAGGTGTAAGCCAAGCATAGGAAATGCAGTAGTTTCTTAACTAGAGAAAAGAGGCACTATGGCAAAAAAATGCAACTGTTTTTGCCTATTACCCTCATTAGCTGCTTTTAATTGTTAGTTTTCAGCTATTACCCTCATTAGAAACTTTTAATTGTTAGTCTTCAGCTAGCTAAAAAACCAGTTTCGATGCTATTTACTTCAGCAAACACTAGAAGGGCTACGGAACGTAAGTCCCCACGGCCACAAGCCCAGGCAAAAGGGCTGCTCCCCTCCGTACAAACCGCCCCCGGCTGCCGA